GGAAGCGACCACTTTCCAACTATTCTTACTCCTATCACTCCCGCGGATGAACCACCTTCAACAAGATGGAATTTTACTAAGGCCAATTGGCCATTATTCCAAACTCTCTGCTCTGAAAAGCTTATACCGGACAACTTCAGGAATGTTCCTGATCCCATGGAACTATTTTCTGATATCTTAAATACTATTGGAGACGAAACCATTCCTAAGTCCTCTGCAAACCCGCACATACGCAAACCATGGTTTGATACAAACTGCAAACAAGCTAGGAAAAATAGGAAGAAGGCGGAAAAATACTTCCGTCAACATCCTACTGTGCATAACCTGAATGCCGTTAAAATGACAAATGCCAGGGCAAGACGAACATTTAAACAAACTAAACGCTGGTCATGGAGGAAATATGTGTCCAAAATCAACTCCCGCACACCCATGTCCAAGGTGTGGAACATGATTCAAAAGATTAAGGGCAAAGGATCCAAATCTGGTGTTCACCATCTCAAAGATGGTGACTCCCTTTTAACCAATAAAGTTGAAATAGCAAACAAACTTGGCGAAACTTTGGCAAACCACTCCTCCTCGTCAAACTATAACCCCAAGTTCCAGAAATACCAAATCCAAAAAGAACAGAAATCTATCTATTTTAACTCTGATAATGGTGAGGATTACAATGAAACGTTTTCTCTCCATGAACTACGTACTGCCCTGGGGCAGGCTCACGACACTACAGCAGGAGTTGATGATATTCATTATCAGCTTCTGAAACACCTTCCTGATTCAAGTTTGGAAACTCTACTCAATATATTTGATGACATTTGGACAACCGGCAACTTTCCTCCTTCGTGGCACAACGCCATTATCATCCATATACCAAAACCTGGCCGGGATCATACCGATCCCTCAAACTACCGTCCTATATCACTAACTAGGTGTGTTTGTAAAACCATGGAGTGCATGGTCAACAATCGATTAATCTGGTACCTGGAGACCAATAACCTCCTTAGTGACCTCGAGTGTGGTTTCCGAAAAAACCGAAGTACCATTGACCATCTGGTGCGTCTGGAATCTTTCATCAAAAATTCCATCGTCAACAAACAACATACTGTATCTATCTTCTTCGATTTAGAAAAAGCATACGATACAACGTGGAAACATGGTATCTTAAAAGATTTACATAAATTTGGATTGAGGGGCAGATTACCTCAGTTCATATCTCAGTTTTTAAACAACAAACAATTTCAAGTACGGGTAGGTTCCACATTATCTGATTATTTCCACCAAGATCAGGGCGTCCCTCAAGGCAGCATCATGTCTGTCACCCTTTTTAGCATAAAAAACCCCCGCCTCACTAACGTCCTGAACAGTTGTGTTGATTGGTCCCTTTTCGTGGACGATTTCAATATTTCATGTCGTGGTAAGAACATGCACGCAATAGAAAGGCAGCTACAACTCTGCCTTAGCAAAATCCAAAAATGGGCCAATGAAAATGGCTTTAAGTTTTCAAAATCCAAAACAAATTGTATTCACTTTTGTCGTAAATACAGACCACACAAGGATCCAGACCTATCTTTAGAGGGTACTCCCATCAAGTTAGTAGAAGAGGCCAAATTCCTGGGACGCTTATTCGACCGCCACCTGACATTCTTGCACCACATAAAATATTTGAAAACCAAGAACTTGAAGGCTCTGGACTTACTAAAAGTCGTTTCAAATACAGAGTGGGGAGGGGATCAGATTACCCTCCTTCACTTGTACAGATCTTTGGTTCGCTCTAAACTAGACTACGGCTCCATTGTTTATGGTGGATCCTGCAAAAGCAATTTAGAAAAAATAGATTCTATCCACCACCAAGGCCTGAGGCTCTGCCTGGGAGCTTTTAGGACCTCTCCGGTAGACAGTCTATATGCAGAGGCTAACGAACCTTCCCTTGAACAACGCCGCATTAAACTTTCACTGCAGTATATCTTTAAACTACGTTCAAATCAGTCCAATCCAGCATACAATTGTGTTTTCAACCCTCTCTATGAAAACTTGTTTCCTAAACTGCCAAGCCTGGGTTCCACCGCTTGGAATCAGAATTCAACCACACATATCTGCAGCTAAAATTGATCTCAATAGCATAGCACCTTACCGACTCCTGTATTCATCTTACCCTCACTAAATTCAAAAAGTCACAAAGGAATACATCCAGTTACGTTCCAAGTATGACACCCATAGATCCATTTTCACAGACGGATCCAAGGATGAGGGCCAAGTCGCCAGTGCTACAGTCATTGGATCTAAGACTGTCTCCTCTAGGATTCCCGACAACAGTTCCATTTTCACTGCCGAGGCCAAAGCTATCTTTTCAGCTTTGACCTATATTAAACAGCAGAATCATTCCAAAAACTTCATCGTTTTCACAGATTCATTATCTTGCCTTCAAGTCACCCAATCATTCTGGACATTTTGGAACTTTACAACGACCTCTCTACTGGCCAATGTGACATCGTCCTCTGCTGGTTGTCGGGTCACGTCGGCATAGCAGGTAACACAAAAGCCGATGCTGCAACAAAGGCAGCTCTTGCCAAGCCCTTATCTCCACTGCTGATCACGTACAGTGATTTCAAACCCACTATCAAAAGCTATACTCGGGACCTCATGCAAAAACGATGGGACACTCAAGTAGGAAGAAATAAACTGTATGAATTGAAACCAACAATTGGTTATACCTACTTGGGTTGTCAGTCAAGACGTGATGAGGTAAGTTCACGACGATGTCGTATTGGCCACAGTCGATTTACTCATGACTATCTGCTGAAAACGGATGTGGATGGACCCCCATGTGTGTCTCTTGCGATGAGGTTTTCACCATCAAGCATATTCTGCTTGAATGCGTAGGGAGTCACATTATGATGCAACAAACCTAAAAGATCTGTTCTCCCGCGTGAGCGCTCATCTGGTAGTGAACTACCCGAGGGAAGTTGATCTGTATCATAAATTGTAACTGTGGAAAGTAACTATCATAAATTGTAACTGTGAAATGTGACTAACAAATTGTCTGCCTTTAAATTTGATGCTATGACTTTTCTGCTTTTAAAGGACAATGTAATGAATATATGTTTTTGAAATAAAACTCATTCCGAGTATGTACTTACAATGTTTATTAATGCAAACATTTTCTCGTCACTATATGGCTGGAATAATGCCGATGTGACGCAAAACCCAACTCAACTCAACTCACATTAGGAGACAGAGCCAAGTGGTTTCAGCGTTCACTCGTCATGCCGAAGACATGGGGGTTCGATTCCCCATTTCATTACAATGAGTGAAGCCCATTTCTGGTGTCCCCCGTCATGATATTGCTGAAAACTACAAACAAACAAATCTAAACTACATACGCAGCTTCACAAACAGTTGAACCCGTTTTGCATGTTTGTGGTTTTGACTCATGGTACATGAGCAAATGGCGACTAATCAAATTATAATCCAATATCAAATACATTGTTCGTCCCTCATGATATAGAGAAGAAAACAATCCTATCAAACCTATCGTATCCATGAATACATAATGTCATTTAGAAAGTGTTCTTATGTAACACGTTATATTTGGGATTACACTTTCTCTGTAAAGTACAGATTCTAGTACTTTTTTATTGGGCTTTGTCCCATCCGGGATTCGAACCCACATCCTCAGATTCAGGCACCTAATCGCCAGCACATCCAGTCAGCTGTCGATTTAAAAACACCACTTGGAATTCATAGCTGTGTTTGCAGCGAGACAATCTAATTATAGACGAAAACCCGTAGTGGCCGCCCACGCCTAGACCGATAGATTCAACCATAGTGTACCACATATCACACATAATGATGGTGAATAAATAAAGATGGTATATGGTTTTTAACTTGTTTATTTGTTTTATGGGAGAAATTAGGTACAGAAGCAAAGCCGGTACTTTACAAAAAGAAAAAAACTGTCCATAACTAGGTCAGAAACAGTTATAATAGCTAACATAGCGCACTCAGACAAAGAGATTAAGTCTGAGGATGTATCCTGGAACAACAGTGAGGTTTACTACAGAGTGAAGTTAAAGTGTATGCTTCTAGGTGATGAGACGATGATACATGGGTGACGGAAAGAAGCAGTTCTGACCTCTGTTGATGATCGGTTTGAATCTGTATCTGTGGGTGGTTTCTCTGGATTTTCTGTGGTCCTTGTTTTAATTAGTCTGAGGGCAAAGAGGTATGTTGTGACCCTGATCAAAAAGCGTATGACCAAACAGCATATAACGCTCCTTGAAACCCAACCCTTAACCTCAAGATCCAGGGGAAACCCCCTCCAACAAAGATGATGGAATGAAGTGACGCTGGTCTCTGATCATGGCTTTCAGTAAAGCTTTCAAAATACTAGACATTTTCACGCCCAACTAGACATATTGTGAATTCTACCATGACACTGAAAAATGCTTGATTTCTGATTTGTTAAAAAGAAGTCTTCTTATTCCTACTGAAGTCCCTTTTTAATATATCCTGACATTTCACACAGATCCGTGCGCACGGATACATTCGCCAGCTTCATGTTACAAAGACAACCAACAATTGCAACCCATCAGAAGTGTACACCTATCGGGACCTAGCTGAAGACGAGTCAAGCACTCCAGCGTAATTAATACACTCCCTGGTGTTTTATGGGGAAAACTCCGGTTCCTGTGTAATCAGGTGAGTTTGGTAACAATCGGTTTGGTGATAAGATGACAACAGAACACAGGTACACAGGTAAAATCAAAATGTATCGTTGGGCTCAGTTATGAAGGTTATTTGTCAAAATATTTTTCGGTAAGCTATGTATTTGAAACCCATATGTTGAACTACTCAAGACGACGGTTTTAAAAGCACTCTTACCGTCATAGTAGAATGGTGTTAAACCTTCCGTGTTTTGAAATTTGATGTAGTCTCACTGTATAGTGAATACCTCGGTTCAGCATAAGGAATTCTAATAAGAGGTATCTACTTAACAGTGGAACGACCTTAAATGCCAAAACACGGAAGGTTTAACACCATTCTACCAATTTGTTCGTCCTGAATTTAGTTCAGAAAAAGGCGTTCCGATTTCCCACAAATTTCGTCAAAAATATGGTTGTAAATTACTAGCAATTTTGACAGTAGGTCACTTTTCAAAAAGTTTGATTATTAATTATAATGTTATGTTTTAAGAAGGTCATTTATTTCAATGATATATTTTGCCATGTTCTAGCACACCTCGCTGATTGCCATGGGACTTCTGCGAAACAGAAGCAGGGTACACAAATACACGTGTTGTCCAAAAACAACAAACATGCACCATGACAGTCAACGAACATGTTACGGGTTAAGTTAAAACAATTATCTACTTAAGGCCAACGATACTTATTTCTCAATCGATTGTTACAGAGATGCGAATACTGAAAGATTAGTGTAATTAAGTGTGTATGATAATGAGTTTACACTTGACGGAATATATATTTATGGAGTGATATAACACATCATGCAATAACTTTCAGTCTATTCAACGGTTCTGAGTTCACGACGTTGAATACTAGAGAATCTTATCTGTAAATCTAGCACAACATGAATTAGGCAAAACTCTAGCAAGTCTATTTTGTTAATCCCATCCATCCTCCAATATAGTCCCCCGTCTGTTTTGCTATATTTCCAACGGATTCTGAAACTGTCGGAGATTTCTTGATCTCAGCTTTGAGGGTATCGTTTTCGCTTCGAAGTTGTCGAAGTTGCTCATTCGTTTGCTTCAATTGGTTATCCTTTATAATCTCGTTCCGTTCCAAGGTTTCTTTGTCACCTTCAAGTTTTGTCGTCTTTACCTTCAGATGCGATATGATTTCATCTTTATCTTTAAGTTGTTTGATGTGGAACTCGTTTCTCTCTGAAGAAAGGTAATATTAGGTACACAGAAGTTCAATGGAATTTCAATGGAATAAATATCTATAAGATTGAAAATATGTTTTGAAAATACGATTACAGTTGCTGTAGAAATACTGAGCCTTATTTATCAATCCCTTTTCACCAGACACATCTTATTTATCTTAACTGTTATTACTTTATGCCTTATCTTTCTAAAGCGCTCGGCCCACAAGCCCAAGACCCAGGTTCGATTTCCCAACTTGGGTATAATGTGTGAAGACCATTCCTAGTATTCCCCGCCGTGATATACCTGCAAAATTGCTAAAAGTGGCGTGAATGCTTAATCACTCACTCACTGAAACCATCAAATAACATGCAAGAGGGACAGAAAATCTACCAAAATCCATTTCAATTCCATCATGGCACGTATGACAAATATACCCATGTTGTGGATAACTGCTGTGGGGCTTTTCTCAAATCACGCGTATGTGGAATGAAACCCTGAAGATCCTCTTTGGAATTGGTCTTTAGTAACCCATGCTTGTCGCGTAAGAGGCGATTAGCAGTATAGGATGGTCAGACTCGCTGACATGGTTGACACATGTCATGCGTAGATTGATGCTCATGCTTTTGATCAGGGGATTGTCTGGTCCAGACTCGATTATTTGCTGGTTATATAGCTGGAATATTGCTGGTTGCGGTGTTACACAACAAACAAGACATAATATGGAATGACGTAACTGAACTGCTGTGGAAATCACAGGAACGATGAATCATTGTGACTAGAAAAGGTGTTGCCCGCTTCATGCATGACTGCACAAGCATACATGTAGTATTGAGTTTTAACAAACAACTTACCTCTAGCAAGCTGAGAACCCGACACGCCCATTGTGTTCAGTTAAGAGCCTCAAGATCTCTGAAAAGACACAACACAGTGCATGAATATGTACATTTGTGTGCAGCGAATTATCGTCTCTCATTCACAATGATTGTTTTTTTGAGTGAATAACGGTGTGAATAAAGTTGGATGGTTTTTAACACCACGATCGGCAATATACCAGCTATATGGCGGCAGCATCATGGGCATCGATCTACATGGCGACAGTCTGTAAATAATCGAGTCTGGACCAGACAATCCAGTGATCAACAGCATGAGCATCGATCTACGCAATTGGGGTACAATAACATGTTTCAACCAAGTCAGCGAGCCTGACCACGTTAATCGCTTCTTACGAAAGTATGGGTTACTGAAGATTAATTCTAACCCGGATCGTGAATAAAGGATTTAATGAACCATGGATTATATTTGGGATTACACTTTCCCTGTTACAGCTTTTAGTACATTTTAGTGTTGAGTTCCATCTCGGAGTCAGACACTGTATTGACAGCCCAAACAGTAAGCGACCTGACCCATCCAGCCACCGTGACTTCCACTAACATGGAAGTCTGACAAGTTGTACTCTAGAATACGTAATCCTCTGACAAGTGCAATTTGGCACCCATGGCCAATGTTATGAATACATATTTGAGTATACGCTTTCTCAATAAACCCAAAAGCTCAGAGTTTGGTGCTCTGACTAGACTGTAAGTGTCAATATGTTTCACTTGTAAGTCCGAGAACCACAAATACAGACAAAGATCTTGAAGAGAATGACATATGCAAAGAAATGTCATATTGAACATTTTAACTGGGTTGCCCTCTTGCCCTCAAGATCTGCATTGGAAACAAGAACAACCATCATTTAGAAGCTTAGTGAGGGTTAGAAACTCAAATATCGTTTTTAAGATCCCTAAATATCGAAAGGCGCCATTTTTTTACTACAGATGTGTCAAGAAATAACGTCCGGTTTTCTTGTCAGAGGGGTACACAATGTCTGTGATCTTGACTGAGGGTTGTACGACTTCCATATTTTGTGGAAGCCACGGTGGCTGAGTGGGTTTGATGGCCGACTTTATGTGCTTGCGATTAGGTGCCTGACTCTGAGATTGAGGAGTCTCAACCCAACCTAGGTCAGTTTGTTCCAGGAGACCTTCTTTGTCTTCATATTTAAAAAAAATAATGTCTCTATCGACATCATAATATAATTTTTACCGTGCCTATCTAATTTTGATTTCTTACAGACGTGTTTTTTTTGTTGCTGAGTATATGAAGCACAACTACGGATTGACATGCGCAAATAACCAGTGGAGACGCCTGTTGGTATTGATCTCAGGCAACCCTTACTTGTCATAAGAACCAACTAACGGTTTGTCAAGCTCAATTTTAGATGCAGTACATATAGATGAACATGAAACAAACAACCTCTTATTTTCAGTTATTCATATACCCGTGAAGATCCGGGTTAGAATTGATCTTCAGTAACCCATGCTCGTCGTAAGAGGCGACTAACGGGATCGGGTGGTCAGGCTTGCTGACTTGGTTGACACATGTCATTGGTTCCCAGTTGCGCAGATTGATGCTCATGCTGCTGATCACTGGATTGTCTGGACCAGACTCGATTATTTACAGCCCGCCTCCATATAGCTGGAATATTGCTGAGCGCGGCGTAAAACTAATCTCACTCTCTCACTCAGTTATTCATGTATTATTCTCTACTTTTTGTCTTTTACGCCCAAGAGAAGTTACAGCAGGTCATTGAGAAAAATTGACGTTTAGATATCACTTTGTTATGGGTAAATACTTTCTGTTTTAGATTGTTCTGAACAGTCATATTCTGATTATAACCACGATCCTTTATCGGCCGAAAATGATTTAATCACGAGTAGAACATATGGATGCGGAAAATCTGAAATGCCAAAACGCATTCATGGTAGTTTCGAAACATATGATATGAAAAGTTGAAGTTCAGAATTGTGTTATAAGTTCTAAGTCAAGGAAAAGTATGCTTGATTAGAATACAATGTATTTCATAAATATAATTTTTGGCGTAAAGAAGAAAAGCATGTTCCGTTTCACTCACCCGTCTAGCAGCACAAAATGTATGATCTCTTCTAGAACTGTCGTTCACGTTCTGCTTGGTGAGTTCCTCTGCTGTTGACCACCGTATCCCAAACAAAAATAGAAAAAAGTCGTTAGTAGCTTTGCCCATGGTAACCAAATGTAAATTTGTAGGTTATGATGTGCGGTTGGCACCATACCATAACACCTAGGCAAATTCCACTAAGATGAGGGAGAAACATGAATACATGCATCTCATCTTTATTTAAATTCAATACAATTGTGTTAGATCTGTACTTACGGCCCAAAGCCTATAGTACAGTGTATATACAATCTTGAACATTCCAACCCATTGTTGTTGCTACAGTTCTGCATGATTCATGTACATGTAGATATTGTTTATAAATTAGTGGTTTTTTTACTTTTGGGGGAGCACATGTGTATTTAAATTACTCAGCAGAAGTGAATTATTGCATGACTCAATAAATATCCATTTATGTAACGTAATGTCAATTCCCAGCCAAGGTCAATTCCTGGGGAATGCTCCTTTCCGCAAACCCTGTGTAAAGGTCACACTGACATGCGACTATTGATAACCAGTGACTCATGTCACGTCCTACGTAATAGGAGAGGCTTAGTCAGGTAGAACGAGAGTTAAAAACTATTATAGGCTGTCGGTATATTTTCTGTGATTTTCTGCTCTCCCTGAATTTTTATACCGATTTAAATAATAAACCGCCGCTGTGGAACGTGATGCGGTGATGTAAAGAAAAGGTACCCTTACCTTTTCACATCATCAGAAACCCTGATCGTCCTTTATCTATTTTGACCCGTGAAGAGTCATCGTATCCCAATTGCAGATCGATGCTCATGATGCTGATCACTGGATTGTCTGGTCCAGACTCGATTATTTACAGACTGCCGCCATATAGCTGGAATATTGCTGAGTGCGGCGTTAAACAACAAGCAAACAAACTTTATCTATATGCATTTAAACATTTCCCTCCGAAGCAAAGCAACCCGATTAACACGATGAATTAATCTACAAAAACAACAAACAAGTGATCTAAATTTCACTGATAGGTATTGGTAAACTTCTGCAGGACTGAGCATGTTACTGGAAAGGCGAGAGCAAATTTCTAGACACTTCATCTGGACTGACATTCGTTCTAACTAACATGGAAATATGGTGATGACCAATCACAACAAAGTTGACCTGTATGGACCAATTTCAGGAATTACGATTTATGTGAATGTTTTGATGATGTTTTCGACAATCTAGAACGTTACGATACTTTGTATCCAATCCTTTGGCCCTAATCAGTTAGCAGGGACGGCGGTGGGGTAGCCTAGTGGTTTCAGCGTTCGTTCGTCACGCCGAAGACCCGGGTTCGATTCCCCACAAGGGTACAATGTGAGAAGCCCATTTCTGGGCGAAGGTCTTTTAACATAAATTCCTAAATAACATTTGAAATGTTTTGTGTTAGGTCAGAATTCGACATTTAACTTGCCTGATCTGGCGTTTGTTTGATCTAATGTTAACTGAGTTGTTTCACTTGGACGTTTTATTTCCCGGTGTCTGTGGTGTTGTCTTTGACAGTGGTCGAATAAGTTGGTCGTATTGCCAGAATATTTCAAAATAAGCTTGCACTTTGTAAAAGCCACACATTTTCTATCCACATTCAAGGTTTCTTTGAGCTTCAAAAAGAGCAAATTTCTCCTCGTTATGGACTTTCCAACATTCACAATGTCAAACTCGGAATCGCATGCCGTGTTTGCCGCCATGTTTGTAACAGGGGTGGATAACTCTACATCAAAGTGAACGAATCTGGTACTTCCTGAATTTTGCGCTGCGCATTTATCAATGGAAGGGAATTACTAAACTATCGATAGTCACACATACTATCAATGCATCGATAGTTTTTCGTTTCTATCATCGATTAATTGCTATCGGAGACTCAACAATTGCAATCCATCGATAGTTAGATGCATCGTTTTTTACAGCCCTAGTATCATTCGATGGTTTGATCCCAGGCGGAACAAAAGACGTGAAAAGACGGTACTTGTTGTTGCCTTGCCTGGTG